CGATGCGTGGGACAGAAGGTGCCTGCACAGCATCCTACAGAGGTTTCTGTGCCCAGAGGCCCTGAACCCTGGGTACTCATATTCATCTGATGGGGTATGTATTTCAAATGCTTTTTTTTTTATTTTCTTTTATTCTGGTTTCAGGACATCAATTGTCTCTTGCTTAGTTGTCATGTTAACTCTGTCCAAGCATGATTCCATGGCTGTCATCTGTAGATGGTGACTACAACAGAATGCTCCTGACTAACATACTTTTAACAATCTGAAACATTTACATTTTTGTGCCTATGTTCTTGCTTCACAGTTATACCAACCATTGCCAACTTCCTACTCACTAGCTGAGTCCCGAGCATACATAGATGCCCTCCCCAATTCAGACTCTCCTGACATCTTTGGCATGCACGAGAACGCAGAGAATGCCTTCCTCCGGAGCCAGGCTTCAGAACTGATTGAGACCATTATCAGTGTCCAGCCAAGGCTGACGGCTACCGGTGTTATAGGGTAAGAAAAGTCTCACATATCACAATGTGTGCAGTGTCATTACTATTACCTGGGCAGAAAAAATAACAGTAACAACAGGAATTCTACACAGTTCAATACAATCATCTTTTGTGTGTCATCAACACGTAGGTATAGCAATTGAACACACAGAAATTACAGTCAGGAAGGGTTTGAGACTGGAAGTATATTTAGAAATCTGGCAACAAGTTTTCATATAATAAGTGCCTTGTAAATAAAAAGTGTCTTGTTTGTCAGCAAGATTTTACTGTGTTCATATGATTCAGAATTACTACATGTATTTGATACTAATGATGCTGGTTTCCTCTGTTTGTAACACAGATCTGGGAAGAGTAGTGATGAGATTGTGCTTGAGGTGATCTCAGACATCTCACAACACCTGCCTGAGACAGTGGAGCAGGATGAGCCTGGTACAGCCCGGGACAGAGATGCCGGGTCGGTGGGACGTACCACTCTCAACACCATGTTTGCCAGTAACCAGGCTGCCATGAGGAAAAAGAGCCTGGAGAAACAGGCCAAGGGGGAGAAGGGTGAGTCCATAGAATGTAGTGATTCAGATACATGATTTAGGAGAAGACTATTCCATTGGATATGAAGACACAGTGGTTTGACTGTAATTTATTCATTCGATTATTGTATTCATGTTTTTGTATGCATGTTCATACCAAGTCATTCATGCACACTCCTGACAGGAGTAAAGCGACTGGCAGGTAAAACTACATGTATTTACTTACTCAAAACATCCAGCTTATTGACTTTCTGCAATGTGTTAACAGTTGGACAGGAAGACCCTGATGACCTGAGTAACTCAGCGCTGGTGACTGTTCTGAGACAGGAGATAGACAGGTACAACAGGCTGCTGGCAGTGGTGCACTCCTCCCTCAGGTCTCTCACCCTGGCTGTCAAGGGAGAGGTGGTGATGTCAGAACACCTGGAGGAGGCCTACAACTCCTTCCTGGTCCAGAGGGTGCCAGAGAAGTGGCAGGTGAGAAACGGTTCTATTCGCTGTAGCTTCCCTGGTATTGGCTTCTTTACGTGTCAAGTTCCTGTGTGATAAAGAAGGTATTGTATGGAAGTCTTGAGGTGGAAAAGTCACTGTGTGGGACCCCACAAGATCTATCCCTACCCTTACTCTATGGTGGTAAGACCTTTTGAACTTCCTTGTAAACTAGTATTCGATTTATCTCCCTATCTTATCATTATTTTCATGGCGAATTCTTTTCCTTTTGTACAGTCATTTATTGGTTTATTTCATTTCAGTTATTTATATTTTGTTATGTATGGACTACTTCATCTAAAGTTGTATATTTCATTTCATTTCATTCCAGTTATTTATATTTTGTTATGTATGGACTACTTCATCTAAAGTTGTATATAATTTGTCATTACTCTCTGAGTCCACATTTTGTTTACTTCATTGTTAATTTGATTTTCAAAGTGTTTGGTTGCATGTTATGTTTTCCAATCACTTTCAGTTATATCATTTTCTATTATTTTTACCTCTGACCTCCCATTCAGTTCATTTTAAGTTCTATATGCTGAGTTTTGTTAATTATCCTTTGTTATCTCAGGATAAATCTTTGTTATGAATTTATTATTATTATTATTCCGTTATTTATTGTTTATCTTAAATTATGTTTGATTGATTTATTATTGTTTTTACTATTTTTGTTTAGTTAGTTGGACTCCAGGAAGAGTAGTGTAAACTTTATGTATTACACTAAATGGAGATCGAAATAAAACAAACAAACAAACAAGTGCAGTGAAGTGTGATGTAATAAGATTAAAGCGACGTTTATATTGTAGCCTCCTGATGACTTTCTTGATATCCCTCCTCAGGAGGCAGCGTATGAGTCGTGCAAGCCGCTGGGCTCCTGGGTGAAGGACTTGGCTCAGCGGACAGACTTCTTCTCCACCTGGGCAGAGCTGGTCATCGGCAACATGGAGAAGAAGATGGGCATCAACCGGCCGGTCAGTAAACAGTCGCCGCTGTCCCTGGACCTGGGGGAGGGTGAGGTGACCAGGGATGGACCACGCAGCTTCTGGCTCTCAGGATTCTTCTTCCCACAAGGTCAGATTCACAGAGTGTTCAATTTGTGATGATTATTCTAGTGTCAAAATTGTAGCTAATGCAGGTTGGGCACAACCACATAAGTCTACTTTAAAGTTTTTTGGGGCGGTAGAACTGGTGCATTTGGTGCGTTTTGGCAACATGTCAATGAACATGGCTGTATATAGAGTTTATCCTGTTCCCACAGGTTTCCTGACTGGGGTTCTGCAAAACCATGCCAGGAAGACAGGCGTGTCGGTAGACTCCTTGACCTTTGACTTCCATGTGAAGACAACAGGCCATGACACTGAAGAAGCTCTGAATGACACAAAACAGGGAATCAGTGTCCTCAACTGGGCTTTCAAGGTAGGCTATAATAGAGAGGCTACTTTACATGTATGTCCTGCCAGTGCTATTTGGAAGTTTGGAATGGTATGTCTACACAAGGGGGTATTTAGCCTTGGTGTAGATAAGGAGGGGTGCCAGAAACCCTGACCTTTTTAGTAACTGTTTCAGGAGAGAGGACTACTGGTATACAACTTTCTTGGTAGGGTAGACATAATGTGATGTCTACAGCTTACTCTACTTCATCCGACATTTGATGACATCCATTGTGTATTTATTGTTATTTGAGAATAATACTAATAGCTCCATGGTATTTACTAACACTTGTGCTGACCCCATAGTCCCCCTCATTTCTCCAATGTTCCCTTCCTCCCCCCAGCAGGGACAGCTGCCCCCGGAGGCAGGTGTGTTGGTGTTTGGGCTGTACCTGGATGGTGCACGGTGGGACCCTCAGACAGAGAGTCTCCAGGACACAGTCACCAGCCAGCAGTACTCCAGACTACCAGAGATACACTTCGACCCTGTTCAGGTATCGTCAGAAGTGTTTGATTTTAATTGTTTCATGGTAGGAAGTCTCCTCTTCTACAAAACCATTGATGTAATGTTTACTGTTTACATGCATTCAACAGAATTAGCAATGCCGTGTACAATAAGCAGAAAAGAAATAGCAAGTAAGACCTTGTACCCAGAATATTTTGGGAGTTGTTAAGAAATCCACAATAAGACAGGAATTTCTATGATATTCATGATGCAGGTAGCAGTAAGTCAGCTGGAGAGGGAGGCCAGTTCTGTTTCTGACAGCAGCACAGCAGCCACCACAGAGCCTGGGCAGGTGGCTCAGAAGAGGATATATGAGTGCCCACTGTACAGGACATCCAGGAGAGCAGGGAACCTGTCCTCAACTGGCCACTCCACTAACTTTGTCACAGCTGTCAACCTGCCAAGCATGTCTGCAGCAGACCACTGGGTCACAAGGGGTGTCGCTATGCTTTGTCAGCTGGATGATTGAGACTGTTTGTTGTAAATCTGTCATGAATATGTTCCTTGCGGATTCTGAGTGTTCTAGTTTAAATGTTTGCGTTCCAAGTTTGATATGAGATTGAAAAAGAGAGATGGCAAAATTTTGCAACTTTTTTTTCAGCATTTTCCAGGTTAGCATAAATGCAACAGCATTCTATGTTCCTTATTGGATGTTTTTGTTACTTCAGTGTGAAGTTTGGTTTATAACATTTCTCAGTGACACCAGTTGGTATCCGTCCTATGAGCCCTTCTATCCTTCCATATACTAGTATTATGCTGTATAGCTGTATATTATAGTCTATAAGATGGACATGATTTTTGTACACATGCTTTTTCAGAGATTTTATTTCCAGAAATTGAAAATTACATCGAGTAATTGTAATATGTTCATGTTAAGGTATTGTAAGCACCAGATCTATCAGTAAGTACATATTATGTTGGCTAAACTGAAGGTCAAACATACATTGTAGTGATGTGTTGTACAGTGTATAGTGTATTAATTGGACTTATAGTTAACCTGTTCTCACCTCAGCTAAACTTCATGCCATCCCAAACAGATCTCATGTTTTTACCAGATTACCTGTGGCCTCTTTGAGATGTTTTAACTTATTGCACAAAAATCAAAATATGCAAGTGTACTGAAAGGCTGCCTAATGTGTATATAATCTGCTTATAGGGTCTGCTTATGACTGGCTTAAAGTTAAAGTGTTTGCCATGTGTACATGTCTTTTATGATGCTATTTGTACATATGTATGTTTATAGATTGAGTGAAACATATTTTCATTAATACCTGTCTGTTAACTCTGCCTTTCTGGATGAAATAAAATAAGGATGACCTTTGGATTTCACAAATAAAAGTATTCATGGATATGGTTTGATGCTGTCCCAGAAGTCACACCTCTCCTCCAGGTATTGCTCCTCTATACTGTCCTTAGGAACGTCAAAACGCACATTTCTGAAACCGTTAGACTGTAGGTATGGTGGCCAAGGAATGTCAGTTTGGACCTGTGCCAGGTGTGGTCCAGGTTTATTTGGGTCGCCTGTGTAAGCGAAGTTTCCGTAGTAGTAAGCCATTGAGTCGGCAAGAATCTGTTCGTCGTGTGTGTAGTTGTATTTGGTCAGTTTGAGTGACTGAAACTCGAAGAAGAGATCCGTGGCATGGCAGACATGTCCGTCGCAGCAGCTGAGGATCCTGGGCCAGCCCTGCGGCAGGGCGTGAGAAAACACGTACAGCCAGACGCTGCTGTCTCCGCGTCGTGCTGCGTTTCTCAGAGTCTTGCGGACTGGACAAGAGAAGAGGTAGTGCGTGACCAGTTGAACGGCGACAGACCGCTCATCTCCGCTGCCGGAGGGTGGGTACGAACGGAGGACCTTCTCTGCATCCGCCGGGAAGAGTCCGTAGACCACGGCTTCGTATTCGACAGCAGGTAACTTTGCAAAAACACAGGAAACAAACATGACCGCTTCTTCGGTCGTTGAACCGACGATGAAGGGTTTATTTTGAAACCTCCGTTTTCAAACGCGTCCATCACTTGGTTACTAATAAGGTCTCCGTCTATTGTTGGTCCCCATGGTTCCATGTGCTCAATCAGCCTCTGGAAAGGATCCTGGATCTCTATTAACATGTCCGTCTGAACCTTGGCAATATCGGTTGTCGAGGCTGACCTCATACATTGCATGTCTCCCGGAGTACAGTTCAGTAGACGGGCAAAGTCATCCCCGAAAAGAAGCGCCTCGAGTCTGGTCTTGAAGAAGAGGGAGAGAGGAGGGCTCGCGGCGATGGCTCTGCGGAACAGGTGGTCGCTCTTGTCCAGTGTCATATGAAGAACAACTGAATAAGCCCCCGCACTTTGTCCAAATATTGTGACCCTGTCTTTGTCACCGCCGAAATCTGCGATGTTGTCCTGGATCCACTGCAGAGCTGCTATCTGATCTAGAATGCCGAAGTTGCCAGTCGCCGCCCCCTCCCCCTGCCCTGCCACCAGGAAGCCAAGGGCACTGAGTCGGTAGTTGGCCGCCACCACAACTGTTCTGGTGCTGTT